TTTTATTGTCTTCTTTTGTTAGGGAAAAGATTGAACGCTCACAAACACGATTAATCGCACTACATTATTTAAGTATCTGACAAAAAATCAAAGGCCTGTAGTTCAGTGACTTGCATTGGTTGATGTCTTTCATAATTGGTTTTCGTTTATTGTTATAGCATAGATCACACCGTTTGTTTTCTTGTTTCTTTTCTTTTTGTAATGGCGGAGCCTTTTTAAACTTATTATAAGATATAGGTTTTGAACATTGTTGAATGCAGAACAATGATCTACAATTGCATGCACCCATATCATTTGGTCTCTGGTTGATAGTTGTCTCATTCGTACCACCTAAATGTATCTCCTTATATTTTAATATGATGAGTAGATGTTGATCGAAAGAGCATGCTTCACATAAATGTGTTAAGCCAAGTTTAGATAAAAAAAAAACTAATAATGTATAACCCAACCATTTATGATTCCTTACATGTGTCGCTTGCCTGGTAGACATTTATAGCAATTGCGGCATCATTGGAAGCACTCGTGTCATTCAAAAAGATAAATATATGTACCAAACAAACATGGCTGTTATTCTTTTACTTACTTTGGAGCGTTCATATGGTCTGTCGATAAACATTAGGAAATAAATTTTCAATGGTTGTTAGTATTTTTTTTTTTAGGAAAATGTTTGAGAGGCTGGTGTACTTGGCGATACTTGGTCAAACTTTACAAATGACCAAGATTGTTTGTTGTTTATTTAACGTTCGATTAAGATTGGTAAAATTACGTGTTAATGCAAATATTTCATGCAAATTCCGGACTAGGACAAATTGAACAGTACATTAAATGGTGAAGCTCTGCAAAGTTGGTAGACTATGGTAAATAACTGAAAACTGTCGTTTGGTTAAAGTGAAGAAATTATGCTTTACAGCAAGCAATCTACAGACCACAGACAATGAAGTTACAGGAATTCTTTAGGTTATGGATAGATGATATGGAGATATCTATTCTGTTGATGCACCAATTTGGTTTGGAGATACTTACTCTGGTAAGCACCTAGTCTTGCTGTGCTTGGAGATACTAACTATAATAACTATGTTGTTACACCCAGTCTCACTCTCTGTTTGATGATATTAACTTTATGCATACACCTAGTCTCACTCTCTGTTTGTTCATTTTCTACATAAGGAAATGTCTGTATTAAGTCAGGAATATGACAGTTTTTTCCAGTCGTTTGATGTGTATGAGCTTTTATTTTTCCATTTGATAAGGGACTTTTGAATTTTCCTTGGATTTTTTTGTTATTTTACTTTTTTTAAGATACTTACTCTGTTGATGAACTTAGTCTCACTACTTGTGGAGAAATTTACTCGATTGAAGCCGATGGTCTCACTCTGTTTAGCACAGAAGTAATAACGTACTCCGTTGACACACATATTTTCACACCGTTTGAATATACTTACTCTTCTGATGCACATAGTCGAACTCGATTATGTGAAACTTACTTGGTTGATGCAGCAAGTCTAACTCTGATCCGTTCGAAGATTCTTACTCTGTTGATACACCTCCTCTTACTCAGTTCGAATATGCTTACTCTGTGGCTGCACCAATTCGCACTCTGTTGTCCAATCACTTACTTTAAAATACTATTCAGTTGTTACACCACGTTTCATTCGGTTTTGAGATAATCACAGTGTTAATGCAGCTATTCGTAGCACAACTATCTCTCAATCTGTTTGGAATCACTTTGTCTGTTGGTGCATAAAGAAATTGAATATATTGATTCTCCTGCTCTCATTCCATTAATCACTAAAGAAACTTGCTTGGTTCATGCACCGGGTCTCCTTCTGTTTCCGTTTGGATATACTTAATCTGTTGATGCACCTAGTCTCATTCTGTATAGAGATATTAGTTATGTTGATGAATCTAGTCTCATTCTGTTAGGAGATACTTATTCTGTTGATGCACCTAGTCTCATTATGTATGGAAATATTAGTTATGTTGATGCATCTAGTCTCATTCTGTTTGGAGATACTTATTATGTTGATGCACCTAGTTTCATTCCGTTTGGATATATTAAATATGTTGATGCATCTAGTCTCATTCTGTTTGGAGATACTTATTCTGTTGATGCAACTTGTTTTATTCTGTTTAGAGATACTTTTTTCTGTTGATGCACCTAGTTTCATTCCGTTTGAGATACTATTTCTGTTAATGCACCTAGTCTCTTTTTTGCTTTGAGATACTTATTCTGTTGATGCACCTAGTCTCATTCTGTTCAAAGACACTCATTCTGTTAATGCATATAGTTTCATCCTGTTTGAAGACACTTATTCTGCTGATGCATCTAGACTTTATCTCTTTGGAGACACTCATTATGTTGATGCACCTAGTCTCATTCTGTTTGTGACACTCATATTCTTTTAATGCATATAATCTCCACCTGTTTGTAGATACTTATTCGGTTGATACATCTAGTCTCATTCTGTTAGAAGATGTTTATCATATTGATGCATCTGACACTCATTCTGTTGATGCACCTATTCTCTTTCTGTTTGTAGATACTTATACTGTTTATGCGCATAGTCTCATTCTGTTTTGAAGACAATCATTCTGTTGATTCATCTTTTTGGATAAACTTATTCTGTTGATGCTCCTTGTCTAATTATGTTTGGAGAGACTCATTCTGTTGATGTACTTAATCTCATCATATTTTGAGATACTTATTCTGGTGCATCTAGTAACATTCTGTTTTGAGACTCTCACTCTCTTGATGCATCTAGTCTCATTTTGTTTGGAGACACTCATTCTGTTTATGCTTCTAGTCTTATTCTGATTGGAGATATCTATTATGTTGATGCATCTGACACTCATTGTGTTGAGGCACCTAGTCTCTTTCTGTTTGGAGATACTTATTCTAGTGATGCATCTAGTCTCATTTTGGTTGGAAATACTTGTTCTGTTGATGCACCTAGTCTCATTCTGTTTTCAAACACTCATTCTGTTGATGGATATAGTCTCATTCTGTTTGAAGATACTCATTCTGTTTGGAGATACTCATTCTGTTGATGAACATGTCTCATTCTGTTTGTATTTACTTATTCTGTTGATAGATATAGTCTCATTTGTCTGTTTGGAGGTACTTGTTCTGTTGATGCACATAGTTTCTATCTGTTTGGAGATACTTATTCTGTTGATGCACCTAGTCTCATTCTGTTTGGAGACACTCATTCTGTTGGTACATCTAGTCTCATTCCGATTGGAGATACATATTCTGTTGATGCACCTAGTTTCACCCTGTTTAGAGATACCTATTTTGTTGATGCACCTAGTCTTATTCTGTTTGGAGACACTTATTTTTTTGACGCAACTAGTTTCACTCTATTTGGATATACTTATTATGTTGATTCACCTAGTCTCATTCTGTTTGGGGATACCAATTCTGTTGATGCACCAAGTTTCATTATGTTCGAAAACACTCATTCTTTTGATGCATCAAGTCTCATCCTGTTTGGAGATACTTATTCTGTCGATTCACTTTTTTCTCATCCTGTTTAAAACATTTATTCTGTTGATGCACTTAGTCTCATTCTGTTTGGAGACACTTATTCTGTTGATGCAACAAGTCTCATTGTGTTTAGAGATACTTATTATGTTGATGCACCTAGTCTCATTCTGTTTGGAGACACTCATTCTTTTGATGCATCTTGTCTCATACTGTTTGGAACACTCATTCTGTTAATGTACCTAGCTATATGTATAGTATCATTCTATTTGAAGACACTTATTATGTTTATGCACCTAGTCTCATTCCGTTGAAATATACTTATTCTTTTGATGCACCTTATCTCATTCTGTTTGAAGAAACTCATTCTGTTGATACATCTAGTCTCATTCTATTTGGAGATACTTATTATGTTGATGCACCTAATATCATTTTGTTTGGATATACTTATTCTGTTGATGCACCTATTTACACCCCGTTTGAAATTACTTACCCAGTTCTAAATAATATATAGCAGGAATCAGAATATGGAAACACGCTTGTTATTAACTAAGACAATTTATACAGGGTCAAGATATAGCTAACTACCGCATGTACATGTTAATTTTACGCCGGTTTACTAGCAACCTTTTTGCGTACTAAAACTTAAAAGGTAATGTTTCAATTAATTTCTAGAGTAGCATCAACCTAACGCTGTAATGAATATAATAAAACTTTTCAAAACGGAATTTTGAACAACTGTAAGAATCGGAACACTTCAAAAATGACCTTTATTTGTCAATTTATTTGATAGACAGTGTTCGACTGTTTAACATCAGGATTTCAAGTGTTCCTTGTATTAGGTAATAGAAAAAGCTTAGATAGACCATTAAAAAGTTCCTAATGAGATAAACAAAAAAAAAACAATATTGCACATTTCGTAACTGCTCCCCACTATAAAATACATTACATTCGTACAGTTCGTAGAGATGGTACATAACTGGTATAAGTTTTCCAATTTTAAACCGATTTTTAATGTTGTGTATGTATCGCATGATTAGCAGATGCATGAATTTGATTTGGTCCAAATACAGTTACGGGCAAAAGAAATTCTTGATAAAAAAAAAATGTATAGCTTTGATTCATACTTGACTTCAGGTTTTGAGTTTTAAATGGTAGGTTTAAATTTCTTTTATTCATCGATCTCACAATTTGACTTCGAGCAAATGCAGTGATAGGCAATACACATATATGACTGCTGTGGTTTATACTTGGTGATTTTTGTTTAAAGACGTTTAATGATGTATTTTAGTTCTTTTGTATACGAGGAAACAATTTGACTCGGAGAAAACGGGTAATGTGTGTGTAAACCTTTCCAATCTTACTTCGATGATAAAACAAGAAGATATGACAAATGAGCGTACAAATGTGGATTTAAAGTAAAGTAATTTATTCATTCTTTTCTTCTGTGTTACACTCGGTCAAGCATAACTCTTTAGTTGATCGATTTTATTTCACTGTGTCATTTATGCTTTGAAAACATTCAAAAATGTGTATTATTTATGCTCCTAACTTGAAACCCGAATCACCAATTCTTATCGAATTGGATAAAGGAAAAGACCTTGTCATTTAAAAAAAAAGAGACATTTGTTTGAACCATTTAAATGTTTCTTTGTGTTAACAATAAGATATGTGTTTGATTTAAACAAGGAATAAGAATTAATTTTGAGTTTCTGCCAACTAACTGCATACAGAATTCACATCACAAATTTAGTTAGCGTTCATTTATTGTGAAATGTCAGAATTGTGTTTTGCGCTTTTGATGGTGGTATTGTGTAATAATGGTTCTTCCAGTGAATCTTTAGAAGAACAACTTGGCATATTGTTCAATAGATCGGATTTACTCTGTCCTGAAGAATGCGAAGCTCAGGATTACCTGAACAAAATGAGATTTGAAAACAGTTTGGAATGCTGTACATGTAAGGCTCAACCATTATGGACAGTTGACGGAAGTTTGAATGGGAAACTTAATTTTACTAATGTTGGACATTTAAATGTCTTTTTTGTTAAACACGATATTGAATTGAAAACTATAGACCATGATGTTCATTTTAATTACTTAATTTACACGTACGGAAATCTAACTGCAATTCCGCTCTCAGTTTGTAATTTTAATACAACTGTTTACATCGACTTGTCATTCAACCAAATTACAGATATCAGAAATATATCATGCTTGTCTATACTAGATACATTACTATTGGCAGGAAACAAAATACAATCTTTGATTGCGGACATATTCAATGGAATGAAACATCTCCGTAGAGTTGATGTATCCTTCAACCAAATCACCAAATTGGAGCCGAAGTTTTTCTTACATATGGCGGGTAGTATGTTTAATTTTGATATATCGTATAACAATATGACAGAAATCGACGTCACAAACATAGTTTGGACAAGACAAAAATATTTCTGCATTGTAAATTTTTCTCATAATGCTCTGAACGAAATTACAAATCCCGCAAACTTTTCATTTCAACCAGAATTAAATTTCGGCCGTGGGGGATATCTTGATTTCACATACAACAATTTTACTCATTTTTTCAATTTTGAAAAAATCGGTTTTAATGACCTGAGATTATTTGGAAAACTGGTATTTTACAGTTTCGACTTCAGGCATAACAACTGGTTATGCGATTGCAAATTTTATCCGTTTGTCTCGCAGGTTACTATTGGGGCGATAATTTTACATGCAAGTCATGTCAATTTGAAATGTAACAGCCCTTCACAGTTTAAAAATAAACTGATAAGAGGTTTTCTGAATCAACCTGATTTACTTATCTGCAACATTTCAATGTCTGCAAGATGTCCTCAAAAATGTCGTTGCTTTTATCAACCAAGTCAAAACAAAACTATTATCAATTGCCGTTCGAACTTAGCATCGAAAAAATTTCCGTTAGTTTTACCAGAATACGAGAATTTGGTTTTAGACTTTTCTAAGAATTTATTTTCTGATTTAGATACCCAGTTTGAAAGAGCAAAGAATTACACATTCCGAATAAAAGAAATCAATCTTGAAGAAAATAATTTCGATAGTATTTCTGAATTTTTTGTGTCACAGCTGAAAAGTACCACGATCATCAATATAAAACACAATCCGTTAACAAGTATTGATAGGTCCATAGGAAACTTCAGGCCTTGCAATGTACAGTTAGGAAGACTAGATATTGTTTGTACATGTAAAGATCTGTGGTTGCAGAGTTGGCTACCGTCATCAACAATGCCTTGCTATAATAACACATGGATATTCTGTCGGACCGAAACCGGTTACAAATCTATAACTCAAATCACGAAAAGCGAGCTAGGATGTACAGAAGATTATCATCTGAAATGGTTCAACTTATGTATTGGAATCATAGTTAGCCTTGTCGTAATTTTTGCCTTTGCGGGCTATAATTTTTATGTTGAAATTTATATTCTATGGCGACGCTTTTTGAGAAAAATTAGCAGGCCTGTTTCTAGAAACTCTTTTCAATATGATATTTACATATCTTGCAATGAAGACGACGATGGACTTCGAAATTGGATATCGTATGAGCTTTTACCGCATCTTAACGATAGGGGACTTAAATCTTTTCTACCGTATCGAGATTGCCAGCCTGGTAGACCACGTGAAGAAGAAGTAATTGATATCCTATCGAAATCTAAAATTATTCTCGTTCTTCTAAGCGACCTACATCATTTATCACGTGAAAGCACAAAAGCTTGGATTTCTTGTGAGTGGAAATATGCCTGGGTGAATTATCGAGAAGATTTTTTGAAAAATGTTATTATTATAAATTATGATTTTCTAAATAATCATGATGTTTCTTATAGGTATATTAAAGCTTTTATGAGAGCTAGTATTTGCATTGATTTTTCTAATTATAAAAAGGATATGTGGTCTACATTAAATTCTTTGCTAGGACTTTCTTCTCCGAGTTATGGAATTAGATATCATCGGTTTCAAAATAGTCTTGATTCATTTACAAACTTGGTGTAGGTATCAAATTTTTTACAAATATTGAATTTCTGATTATTACAAAAATGTTCTTTTCAAAGTTGTTTTACTTGGAATAGATATTCATTTTCTACTATGAAGATCGTTATAATTGATTATTAGTATTTATGCAAAAAAATATAATTTACGAACAAATCAGATTACAATCGACCTTTGAGTTTGAACAAAGAAGAGTAATTAAATGTTTGTGTGTAATTGTACAAGGTTGAAACTACCCCTTTCCATTTTAAATTTCAAATCTATAAACAGTCAAACCATGCAAAATAATTTTCTGGTGATATCTTAAAAATTCGACGTTTCAAGACTCACAGGTTCCAAGTGCTGATCTACAAGGCAAACCATCATGTAGTATATTATCGGTAAGGTTGGCTGATTAAATAATACGGGTTGGGTAAAAAGTTTTCTTTTAGTTTAATTTTATTTGTCTATTGTTATTGTTATGTCTATTTTTTACATCAACAACATCTTTAATTTTTTAAACACCTGGATTACAGAAAGAATAAGCAGACCAAGGCAGCTGACAGATGGGTCCCAGTTTGTGTTACATATCCCATTTGCTAGGGAAATTAAAAATGCTAACAAATTACTCCCGTCATTTAACATTTTACGTAAAAACCGGTTTCTATTCCCAATTAACATTCTACACATCATGAAGCTTGTGTTTTCTTACAATTTTACCCTTTGACATGAAAATCTTTAATATTTGTATCATGGTCATTTTTTGTCTTCTTTCATATTAATATAATAAAGTTCAAATTGTATCTCGTTTAAGCAAAAACACCAAAGTATAAATTATTTTATTTTATTAGTCTCCAGGTTAGATGGTTGTTAAAAATTGACCTCGACACGACACGTGCTTCAATCACTTTAGAATTTTCTTTGACGGATTTATTGTAATATATATGTATGTGTGTGTGTGTGTACACCAATGACGAAACACCATTAATGGTGGGTAAAATATTATTACTCCAACTAATATATGTAATATTAATATGAATAGGGAATGAAAATTGATTGTAAAGGAATATGTAAATAGTACACTAATTCAATGAACTACTTTTTGTGTTAAAGATAACAATGATACAAATGTACGCATAATTTCATTTAAATCAGGCCTAAAAATGAACAAATGCAACAAGTTTTAATAAAATTTCAACTTTTGAGACAAACGGTCAAGGTTGAGAATACCAAAACAATGCTTTTTATTTCATTTACTGGTAAAATGATTCAAAGCATTCTTACAAATACATAGAGGTTTCATTATTTACTTTTATGTTAAATTAAACGTTATTGCGACCTTTTCAAATACTAAATATTCCTAAAACACTATGACATTCCCAATATTTATTTTCGTTTAATCAAGGCATCGATCATATCATATTTTGGACATCAGAGTTCAGCGTTACATCTATGCACAGAGAGGGAGCAGCTTTCTTCAACTATGTCTTGAATTTTATAACAATGTTTACAACGATACTCTTGAGTTTTAAAAAAATTCCTAAAAAAGTTAAAAAGGCCATCGGAATTTTGCATTTGGTACAATTATAACTCGGTATAAATTATATAATGTAGTGTTTTTTATACGAATTGTTAAATATTGTTAGATACAAACAGCTTGTCAAGTTTCTTTCAATTGATCGTCAGTCTAGCTCCGTTTTCAATGTTCTATTCCATTTAATTTCACATTTTGGTCTGACATATTTGTTCCGTTTTTGTTTGTAATGATTCTAAATGAACAACATTTCATTAGGACAAAGGTTTCCGTCCTTACCATATGTTGGGGTTTAATTTGAATTTGTATGTGCTTCAAATGTTTTGAATTTCACACCATGAACTTATCGCTTTTTATTACATTTTGATATATAATTGATGTCATTGATATTAGTTGTTGTGAAATTTTGAATGCAGAGACGGCAAATAAGATAAGATACTGTTATCTTAACACCATTGTAATATCAAATGTTATCTTTGATTGTACTAAACTGACTGTAATTTATGATTTGTATTTTTGTTTTTGTATTTTGTTTATTGATGGTTGTGGTATTAATTCACAGTTTATGTAAATTATTTCATTTATTTTGTGTTGGATAATTACATATTTGCTCTCGTGTTTTTTTATGGTATTATGATAAATAACTTTTTTCAAAAATCTTGAATGATATATATTTTCCAAATGTTGTCGAGTCCTCCATGTTTCAATTTCGCTGTAACGATAAAGTTTCAGCTGGGTATGATCTGTAAATAGATATAGGAAGATGTGGTATGAGTGCCAATGAGACAACACTCCATCCAAGTTACAATTTATAAAATTAACCATTATAGGTCAAGGTACGGCCTTCAACACGGAGCATTGGCTCACACGGAACAGCAAGCTATAAAGGGCCCCAAAAAATTACTAGTGTAAAACCATTCAAACGGAAAAACCAACGGTCTATATAAAAAAGAGAAACGAGAAACACGTATGAACTACATAAACAGACGACAACTACTGTAATCAGATTCCTGACTTAGGACAGGTGCAAACATTTTCAGCGGAATTAAACGTTTTAATGGTACCAAACCTTCTCCCTTTTCTGAAACAATAGTAGAACATCACAACATAGAAAAAAACACTATAAAATATCAATTGGGAGGCTTAACTCAATCAAAAAACGTAAATTAACACACAATGAACGAATAAATTTGACCTGTGACACCTGAATGCAAATACACAGTTAATAAAAAATTAAAGTCAAAAGTAAATAAACAGGTTTAAACAAAATTAAAGTATGATATCACTGTGAAATGTCAAACAATTTTTGAAAATCATCACTTTTGAAGAAACCTGCTTCCTATTATACACAGGTAAATGAAAATAATTTTGTTGTTAAGTATACTTCTTCTTCTGTGTGTATAAAATCTTCCGTTTAGGAATACCAAGAAATTTCTTTAATATCAATAAAACTAATCGAACACTTGGTACATATGTGGTGAATATCAAAAATAAAACTATACAATTAGTGCTACATAAAACTTCCTGTACAGGTCTAAGAACAGCATCTAAGGAAAAATGAAATAATTTTGATGTTCATTGTACGAAGAAGTGAAAATTTGTAGTAATACCAAATAATCAATGCTGGTATATAGACAAGATCCATGTCAACATTAAATAACAAAAAAGCATTACAAATAGTATCAACAGGTCAAATTAAAAAGAAAGTACGATTTGAGAGTACTCGTAGTTACCGACAGCTAGTTAAAAGCCAAAACAATTAATAATAAAAAATCATGCATCAGAGACTAAGTAAGTCGTTTATGTAACAATGAATTCCATTGGCCGATCGAGTTAGCATTATTTATCTGGTCCAGGAAAATTGGTACCGTTTAAGTGGGTCAGAGAAAAGAGTTTGGCTGAATAAAAAATATCTTAGAAACAAAGTTTTCATATTTTATAATAGATCTTAATGTATGCAGAATAACCTAAAATTTAGTTTTAGACGGTATGTCATTTCGGTAAATTATAACTGTTACGACAGATACATCAATTGATTCCTCTTCCGTTTCAACTTTTCCTTGTTTTTAAATTTGATATTTACAAAAAGTCAATATTTGTTATTTCAAATTTTTTCGTGAAGTTTTTGTTTTTCTAATTTCTACCCTTGTATTAATATTTTATAGAGATCATAGTTTTTTGTTTTGAAAAAACGACATTTTTTTCTTTCAAAATGTTTTATCAACTTAAAGAAGGAAATCAACCAGGAGATTCGAAATTTTGTTCAAAGGTTTGATATATATTATTTTAAAGGACTTTACCATTTAACAATTATACACATCACGTTAAGTAAATATATTTAAGTCTATATTTCTGCCGCCTTTTTCTCGTAAATGACTTTTTCTGATTCAGTTGGTTTATTTAAAAGATTTAACTGAATACTCATATTTTCACACACATCTTTAAAATTTGGAAGAACAATTATTTGAAGTATAACCCACACTAACAATAACAAGTACATAACATTGCTAACACTATCTTATTATGAAATATAACATACGGAATTGAATATGCATAATCAAATATCCTATTGCAATTGAATATTACGACAATTTACTATGAAGGAGTGAGTTTGTTTACTTAAAAATCTACCATTATAATATAAATAAATTTTATAGGATAAGGCACAGTAACCGTTTAGATCAGAATTTTTAGTATAAATAAGTAAATCAATATTACATTATATTACTATTGTTTTTGTCTATTCGCCGTTTTCTTTTTGTGCCATGGCATTGTCAGTTTGTTTTCGACTTATGGGTTTGAATATAACTTGAGAGATAATTGTATTGTATTAAAACTTTGCGGACTTCCATCGGTAGTTTTAATGTCGCAAATTGAGTTTGACTGGCGACTCGTAGCAAAAGATCAAACAGTGTGCAAATTTCCAATTCTCTATCCTAATGCAAAATAAAGATCTCATTCAATTCTAGTCATTATCTTGGTGTAAAATTTTCATTAAACAAAAATTCCGCGAAATGATGTTATTTTCTTTGGCACCTAAACTAGGTGACGCCATTGGTATGCCTCTGGTGTCAACACCTGGCGTTTTCGGGCTTCTTGGAATACAATACAATTATATAAATTATACGTCAATACATTCCGAAATTCAAAATGTCGGCTTCCTTTAGTTACAGACAGGTAGATAGAGAATTGTACGCTCATTGTCATCCAATCAGAACCATTTATACACAATTATTGCATTAGAATTTGGTATCTTTTTTCTCTCTATTCATAAAAGTTATATTCCACAATATGCATCTTATCATGGAGCAAAGCTTGTATCATATTTCAACTAGTGTGAATGGAAACAATTACGATGGAACGCATACTTCTTTGTCACAAAAGATCAAACAGTTTGCAGATTTCCAACTAAAATGACTTTTTTGTAGATAATGAATTTAAAGTGTTGATCGTTTCTCGTTTTTTATATAAAATAGACCGTTGGTTTTCCTGTTTGAATTGTTTTACACTTGTCATTTTGGGGCCCTTTATAACTTGATGTTCGGTGTGAGCCAAGGCTCCCTGTTGAAGGTCGTACATTGACCTATAATTGTTAACTTTTTATACATTGTGACTTGGATGGAGAGTTGTCTCATTGGCACTCATACCACATCTTCTTATTAATATTAAAGGACAATTCAAGGAATTATGTTGGATTTTGAAACCAATTTTAGATTTGATATTTAGGATAACATATAACGATATCTCAACTTTGCAAAAATATGAGCAGCTGTCCTTAAGATTCGCAACCATCGAACAAACTGCAATGATGAGCTTGCTGTAAGGTGAAAATAAATTTCTATGAGCTATAAAAGCATCCTCAATAAGAAAAAACTTTACCATATTCATGAATTTGAAGTGGCAGCTTGGTAGAATGGGCATTACTTATCATTATTTACTTGAAACAGGGTTTCTTATAATATGGTAGCAATTAAAAAAATGGTTCAATCTTCGAAAGTTGTACGGACGCCATAATGATGTGATATACCGTTATGAATATTTTTTGTCACAGTTGACCACGGTTATGGTATACTTAACGTAGGAACATGACGTCTTTTTTTCATATCAGTTTTTGACATCACAGAACGCGACTTATCCCCGATTATATATTTAAAATGAGTTACAGCACGATTGTTGCTAATGAAACAGAAACTGATTTCCCTTCCGGAGCATCTGAGCTCGACCTATATTATGTGTGAAAGGGATTCATGTTGCTATTGCTTTAATTTGTAATGTTGCATTTTGTCCTATTTAATGCTAAATGTAATCTCTGTTTCGTCTCGTAACAGTCTTGGTTAACCTTTTTCCGGAATCACGGTTATTTTGGGGTTTTTTTTCTTCAAAACATTATGTTTCGGTAAAGATTAGGGTAAGAAAAATCACTTGTGGCAATCGTTTATGAATTTAATAATGTCTTTAAATTCAACAAGAGGCATTCAATAATTTGCCATAATAAGATACATAATCCCCTGATTTGAATCTTTAATATGTTAATTAACTGGTAGCTAGAGTAACAATTGGAAGAGGAACTGCTGACATTTCAGTTCTTTTGCTGCTTTTTGTGTTTGTTTCGCGTCACATTTAGTTTTCTGGGTTGTGTTTTGTTGACTTTTGTTTTTATTCATGGTCTTTTTATTTTTAGCCATGGTGTTTTTTATTTCATGATACATAGTAAGATGTGATAAGGTAGGAACACTTCCTACAAATTTTGTTTATTTCTGATACTTTCAAAGTTGTGATGCATATTACACTGACCGGAGTGGATAGACAAAAACAAGGTATTTTGTATAAAATAAGACCCCGGACGGGCTGTTTTTACCATTGTATAAGATATCAATAATAAAATGCACAATAAAATAAATTACTTGTTTAACTTTCAGTAATTATGTCATCAACTGAATAAATAAATAGAAAATGCCTGCACTAGAAAATATAGTTTACTTTTCATATAAATGATACTACAAGACAAAAGTGTAAGCCTACATGAGAAATATAATGGATCAATTAAAAAAGATTTGAAATTCAAATGTATCAGTGTGGCACCGGCATGCAAAGTGAAACGGAATCTTCAATAGATCTTTTTTCTTTGCTAATGATAGTGCTACTATTTTCCATTCGTTTCATCTTATTATTTGTGTATAGTATTCCAACGCTTCACAATGGCCACTACTTATTTCATTATATTATTTGTGTATGGTTTTCGAACTCTTCACAATGGCCACTACTTTCATTGATTATTTTACGCTGGATGCTCAATCAAGCCGCTAATCGATCATTGGTTTTTATTTGTCCATGTCACTCATTGATTTTATATTCAGTGTTGTGCTGTTGTTACATTTATTTTTCACTGTTTAATTATATCCACTATAGATAGATATAAGAAGATGTGGTATGAGTGCCAATGAGACAACTCTCCATCCAAGTCACAATTTGCAAAAGTAAACCATTACAAAGTACGGCCTTCAACACGGAGCCTTGGCTCACACCGAACAGCAAGCTATAAAGGGCCCCAAAAATAACTAGTATTAAACCATTCAAACAGGAAAACCAACGGTCTAATCTATATAAAAAAACGAGAAACGAGAAACACTTATGAACCACATCAACAAACGACAACCCCTGAACAAAAGGTTCCTGACTTAGGACAGTTGCAAACAAATACAGCGGGTTTAAACGTTTTAACAGGCGCCACCCTTCACCCTAACCTGAAATAATAGTGTAACATCACAACATAGAAGGACACACTATAAAATATCAGTTGAAACGGCTTAACTCAATCAAAAGACATATAAACAAAAACAAGTAAACATACAATGAACGAATAAATTTGATCTATGACACAATGTAAATACAAAATTAATAAAAAAAAAAAGGGGGGGGGGGGGGAGATGTAAAGCAATATCAGAATTTGTCTTGTTTAAACGTTATCATATCAAAAAAAATGTATTGAGAAACAACATATTTGTTCAGAAACAATAGTCCTTCTAGTAAATGCTTCACTTTTTTCGTTAGCATATAATCGTCAAAGCAATATATTCTTTTTCGCGTTTTTATTTTCTTTACGGAATAAAACCACTTATGCAAACCACTTATGCAAGGCTCTATTGTTTTCTGTGTTAAGTTCTGAGATTACAATCATTCATAGCAACTTAGTTAAAAACAAATGACAGTCACTTAATTTCAAAACTATACCTTATTCTGTCATGTGCTGAAAAAAATGACCAAAAAGGAAAATAGGATCTCTATCATAAAAAAAGGTAGGTTGTCTGTTTTAAACTAAAAGAAAAGCACATTGATCCATTTTTTTCCCTTTGTAAACATTTATGTACCTTTCTAGAAAGTTAAATCTAAATCACAAAAAAACATCAAGGACTGTTTAGTTCTTGCATGAGTTGGTAGTGGCAAGAACATTGTCAATGGCTTTCTACGACAAATAATGATATAATTTCACCTATATTTTATCGCATTTAACGGTTAGTTTGGAACATTCATGCTTATAAACAAAGGAACTCTTTCAACAACAAATCTAATGAGTATTAAAATATGAAATTATATGTTTGACATCAAACATACGAAAATAAAACTGAAATTATCTAGAAATGCAAGTCATGGCGAAACACAAAGATTGGGTTTGGAGTTTGAAATATCTCTGAAAAAGACAAAAGTAGTTAACCGATATCATTTATCGGCTATAAATATACAAATTAAAATAACACAAAAACAGAGGAAATTGCAAAAACTTCAAAAGAATTGAGAGGGTAAGCGTCTCCTTCTATGAACACAAGGTGAATATATTACCCATCTGTGAATCTACAGTTCATGGTATACAAATATTGGTTTGGAACTTTGGTTCGATCTTTAGAATCCTTAATACCAACAGAAATATCACATTCTTACGTTTACGGTTATTGTGTTTATAGAGCCCGTAAAATTTCAATTCCATCAATGAAAACTTATCAAACCTTTGAATAAAATTATTCTTAAAAGGTAACCAATTTATCGCTGCAGTAAGATCATTAAATATTGTCTTAACATTAATGTTGTTCTAAAAAAAAATAAAACCGGATGCCATATCTCTTTAGTAAAAAAAAAAAAGAAAATTCTTAATTCCCGAATACCGACACCCTTGACAAGTAAAAATTTATCTATCATGATGATTATATTTATCTTTGATTGTGCATTACTGATCTTCTTTTTAAATTGTTTATTGATGGTGCACATGTGAACTTTATACAAATTGAAACTAGCGTAAAAGAAAAGAAAAATTACAAGTCAATGTTAAATCCAGTGTAGTAATCTATAAACGTAACCGTCGTGAATTTATGGGAATCAACTCAAACGAGAAAAACCAACGGCAATAGTTCATCTAAAAAAAAATATGACAGACAGCAAGCAACGACACATCACACATTGACTCATTAGATCGGTACGTAGCATTAAAACAACTAACAAAATAGATAAATACACAAAGTGCCGACCTTATAAAACTCGCAGGCACTAAAAGCCATGTCAAAGCAAATTACAAATGATAAATTAATCATATTTTTCTACATTAATTTGAGTAAAGATTATAAATACCCGAACATTGACATCCTTGATATGACAATATAACTTTGCGAGTAATATTGCCATAATGAGAACATGTTCTAGCACATCATGTTATCATGTGGATCAGGATCTGCTTACCCTTTCGGAGGACCTGAGATCACCCCAAGTGTTGGTGGGGTTTGTGTTGCTAAGTCTGTGTTTTCTATGTTGTGTTGTGTGTAATGGTGTTTGTCTGTTGGTATTTCTGTTTTTAACCCATGGCGTTGTCAGTTTATTTTCGACTTATGAGTTTGAATGTCCCTTTGGTATCGTTCGACTCTCTTATCAACTGACATTCGAAAACACAATGTATAAACACTACAGAAAGACTAAAACATTTGACAAAATGGAAAGTGAAATCATGTCTTAGTATGTTATGGATCTTAGTTTGCAGTTGTCTATAACAAGATAAAACATTTGTATGCGAAAATATTATAGTTTTCTTTTGTTGATATTTGATGCTGACGGACACAGTATCCATCTTATACATAAACATATCTTCCTCTTCCATTAAGTGGGTGCTTTAGACATGTTAGATGCAAGGATCAAAAGGATGAAAGGTAACTTACATATTATATATGACTGAACATAAGTTATGAATTATCACCAAAGAATGATGCACTTGAAAGAACTTGCGAAGATACTTAAGAGATATATATAAATATTTTCTTATACACGTAGATCACTCAATCCTATATTCATCCTCTTACAAGTGTATAAGGTTTAAAAAGGAATCATATATCAGAATTGCCAAAACGAATAAGTCGGTGTCATGTTTTGTATGATAATTTGGATAAATATGTTTTGGGGATTCATTTTGGTAATTCTTTTTGTGCATACGGATCAATATCTGAAATTAGATAATTTACCTCAATATCTAATTCCATTAGTATATCCTCATCAAAACTCAAAACCTATAGCGGACATTTTACAGGAAGCGTTACAAGCACACTTCCAACGAAATGATTTAATGTGTGGCTCATTATCTCGTAATGTAGCAAATTGCATTTGCAGTACCTATCAGAAGTTAGATAACATCGGCAAGCTATATATTGAAAAAAAGACTGGTTATAAAAGCAAATCGATTGTTAAATCGGCATTGCCATGGTTGCGTTATTCACACTATTACATAAAAAGCCGTCATAATAATTTGCAGAGGTTTCCGATTAATATTTGTGAATTTCCAGAAATTGCACGAATAGATTTGTCCTACAACAAAATTAAAGACATCGATCTTGTGTCATGCATTACATTCTTAGATACATTCAAATTGCATCATAACCTGGTGGAATACTTGAGTAATGAAACATTTCTTCATATGAGATTCCTTCGTGTAATTGACCTGTCTCACAACAAACTGAAATTTATCGAACCTGGATTTTTAATTAACGTAAATGGAAGTTTATTTGAATTTGATGTTTCATACAATTATCTTACTACGCTGGATATTACAAACATTTTATGGACACAGATCATATTTTGTAAGGCAGATTTTTCACATAACTCCATAAGCTCTATAACAAACAAATTGAATTGGAAAAGTCAAGAAAATTCAAAGTTTTCTTTTTTCGGATCGCTGGATAGCTCTTATAATAATTTAACATACTTTTCAATTTTTAACGAAAATGGACTTGACGTTAAATATGTAGGAAAATTAATTACCTGGTGGATATTTGTACGGGGAAATCAGTGGATTTGCGATTGTAAAGTATACCCATTTGCAAAGTTATCTGAAATGGTTGTAAAAATCTATCACAGAATAAATTTTCATATGACCTGTGATTCACCTAGACACCTACAGAAGAGAACATTGTTCGACATCATAAATAATTCCAAACTGGATCAATTGATTTGTAACTTGTCATTAGCTGCACGTTGTCCACCACAATGCCATTGTTTTTATCAGCCTGCTATAGGCAACCGAACAGTTGTTAATTGCTCTGGATCTGGATTAACAAGATTTCCTTCAGTTCTACCTAAGTATACAAATCTTCATATTGATTTCTCTAATAATAAGATAAGAAATCTAAAAAGAATTGAACAGTTCGGGTTGAATTTTTTTAAACGCTTAAAGAAACTTGATCTTTCAAACAACCAAATTGGAACATTTTCAAATATAGGGCTTCATAGGTATAGAAAAATACAACTGATCAATATGACAGGCAATACCATTCAACGAATTCCACGTTCTTTACAGATGTTGAAGCCATGTCAGATTTCTTTGGGTAAAATTATCATGAAATGTACGTGCGAAGATTTATGGTTGAAAATATGGTTACCATTACAATATCAAAATTGTGCGAACAGTACACATGTTTTATGCAATAATAATGAATTACTTCGTCCTATTACTGACATAGAGAAAGAAGATCTTGGCTGTTCAGTGTCAACTATAAATACTTCATTGGTGAACAGTTTGATTAGCGCGGCATTTTTTGCAGTTATTACATGTGCAATGATTATATACAATCTTCGGTTTGAGTTATTTATTCTAACCAGATCTTGTATAAACTTCGTCAGGGAGCCGTTATTGCCTGCCTCTGTAATTCACGACATTTATATTTCTTCAAATGAAGATGATGAACTAATCCGTAAATGGTTGTTATCTTCTTTAGTTCCTTCTCTAGAGAAAAAAGGTTTCGATGTGTTTCTATTTTTCAGGGATAGTACAATTGGAAAACCTCGGGAACAAGAGACGATTGACGTAATTTCAAAAAGTCACAATTTTTTAATACTTCTCAGTGACGACACAACAGGAAATCAACAATGGAATAAGAAAGAATGGAAATATGCATGGAACTATTACAAGTGGGACTTTAGTCGAGAACTAATCATCATAAATTACGATTTGCTTACATATGATGATGTTGTCAAAGATTTCTTCCGAGGATTTTTCACTCTAAGGAAAGTCATAGATTTCTCTAATTTCAACAAAAATATTGAAGAAGATGTCGTTGCGCTGTTGAAATAACGTTAGGAATTGCAACAGGTGAATAACTGTTCCATATATAACCATAGAAACCGTTTCAATAAAAAATATCGCTAAACTGTATGAAATAGTTTTATATGTCATATTATGTTGATTGACACATTCACCAATTTAGCCATTTCCCATACCAGTTTCTATTTCAAGTTAACAACTTCGGGATTCGATTCATCAACAGAGATTCCGAAAAAACATGATTTGAAATAAATTTCCCGTACGAAATTTGAATCTTAATGTTTGTGGGATTTATCTGTTTAGAGACGTATTATGGATACTTGACATTATTTTTTCTAACATTGGCTGAAGTCTTTGTTTAAACTGGTCAGAATATTATTATTTTACGGTTTATTCTTATGTAGTGCTGTTTCACCACTGTCCAAGGTTAGGGGAACGCTAACAAACATCTTAACTGCGATACATTTGATATGTGTCTGTCCAGAGTTAAAGATCTGAAGTTCAGTGACTGTCATTGGTTGCTGTCTCTTATATACTAGTCAACAAAAATAACGATACACAAGTTTGAACTCCAATTTATCATGAAATATAATAAATAGAGAAAAGTGTTAAATTATCCAATGAAAAACATTCATTTGTAAAGCAAATGCATATGATTAAAAGAATCTGACCAAATTGGAAAGTTGGAAAATATCGTGTTATTGAACACAGGGGTCAAATTTATTTTGCGGAAAATGATGACAAAAATCGGCACTTAATTTCGAAGATGAGAATAAAGTATTCAAATATCTGCAAAGGCATTCAAAATTTTAAGCAGACCATGTTTAAGTTTAAAGTTTTAAGTTTTAATATCGATTTTTGAATTTTTGGGTGAAAATACGATTTTTGAAATAACAAAAATTGCAAAAGAAAAACGCGTATTTGCCTTAAATCAATGATTTTGATAAGAAAATAACACTCTGTAAATATAAGACCAACTGAGCAATTATTTACCTTGGTACAGTGTATCCAATTTCATTATATATGGAAAATACATTGCCTAATATCGTTTCTTTGTTGACTAGTATATTTGTTCTACATTAATTATTACAGTATATCCTTCTTCTCTTATGTAATAAAATCATGGTGGTCTAAGGAGCATATCAACATATATGTGATAATTTAAGTTATGCCTTAAAAATATTAAAATGTATAATGCAACCCTTTCAGATTCCTTACATATGTGTTTTGTCTGGTAAGCCTTTATTGCAAACCATCAAAATAAAGAAAGCATTGCTTGCGGTATCATTGGAAATGTTAACGTTTTGCAAAAAAGGTTAAGGAATATACATCAATATTTATTAAAAATTGTGAAATAATTCTTCGATAGATGTAAGTGCTGCGGCAATGGTTGTAATGCCTGTAAACTTCGAAACATTAAACTTTATGTGTTATGTGACTATACAAAGACTTAAAAATTGACTAAGGCTATCTGTTGTTTACTTAATGTTCGGTTTAATAAGATTGATAATTGACGTAAATCCAAATATATTCCATGTTTATTCCGGATGAGAACACATTTAACAAAAAAAATCAAAGTATTAAGTTCTTCAAAGTTGTTAAAACAGGATGATGAAGAACGGAAAAACTCGAACTAAAATTGGGTAAATAGGTAAAAAAATAATGCCTCACAACAGTCTACAGTCTCAAGAAAAAAGTTACAAGAATTCTTTAACAACAATGAGCAGATTCAAAATCATTTCCTTGCCGAACATTGTTGTGTGTTTATTCATCACAAACAGTCCCTTAAGCATGATGTTCTATCCGGGACAACAAAAAATCAAGATGAATTTGTATCTAATCACCTGATAATTCTTAAGGTCGGAGGAATAAGATAAAATGAAAACATGCTAGATAGACCTATTACTATTCGAAATGGTTTTTTTTTTTTTTTGTTTTTTTTTTCTGGAAATTACTGGAAATCTGCATATACTAAGAGAATAATTCCTCAAAAACTATGTTGTTGCTCAGCCAGCTACGGCTTTGTACATGCAAACTATTGACTTGACGTGTGTTTGACCAGCAGTCAATCAGGGAAAGAGGTGTTTGTATTCTCACTAAAAGTCGTTAAGGCAAAACAAAACAAAAAATGTCAAAAATAAACTTTCAACGCCACGGCTAAAAAAGAAAAACACAAACAGACAAAAAAACAGTACACAAAACACAACATAGAAAACTAAAGACTGGGCAACATGAACCACACCAAAAATTTGAGGGTGATCTCAGGTGCTCATGAAGGGTAAGCAGATCCTGCTCAACATGTGGCACCCGTCATGTTGCTTATGCTAGTGCAACCCGGTGATAAATCTAATTTTGTAGGTCACATTCGGGGAAAGAGGACGGGATTGTAGTTGCGACAATTGGAACGGAACATATCCGTTGTCATCTGTGAAACAGATATTCCATAATGGTCAACCAACTCGTGATGGCGTCCGTAAAATTAATGAAGAGATGATTTCAACTTCACCACTTAGAACTCTTGGTTTAATAGCTTCCTTGTGAGCAGCAATCCTCTATCAAGGAAATCATGATATGAAATACAAGCCCTGGACTATCGTATCAACTGGGAGCTATAAACTCTGTGTGCAGGCGCTGCTGGAATGTTGCTACCTAGAAATTCAAATTTCACAATGGATAAGCTGAAATCATCTCTTTTATCGTAAAGTTTTGTTTTCAACCGACATTCATTGTTATTTTTAGAGGTAAGTCAGATATGAGGCAGACTTAACTATATTTGTTGTATCCTTTATCTCAAGTTCGATGGGATAGATGCGTTCAATATAATCACCAAATTTTGAATTATTTAGTGAGAGAACATCATCTATATAGCAGAAAGTGAAGTTTAAGGATACTGCTAACCTCTTTTCTTTCTTCCTAATAAATTCCGGTATGAAATTAGCCTCAAATGAATAAAGGAACAAGTCGGTAAGAAGAGGAGCACAGTTGGTTCCTATAGGAATGTTTATTGTTTGTAGTAACACGTCCTCCAAACGAAACAATTATATGTCAATCAAGAAGTCAAGCATTTGGATAATGTCAGTTTCAGAGAAATGTTTGTTTGAATCAGAGTGATTTTTTACAAAGTTAGATTTATCCCTCCAAAAGACAAGATACTTGTATCTACGTCAGCCATTCTTTTTATGAAACAAAGCGGAACAACTCTTTCTTTTTTGTCTTTTAGTTTGGAATGGGGAATACTTGTGTAAAGTGTAGAAACGTCAAATGTTTAAATACTATTGCCAGATGAAAAAGAATCTTAGATTGATTGTATGTACCCTAAAGGATCTTTGAAATTATTTAGTATCCTCATCTGATTCACGCCACCTCTAGAATAGGTAGTTGACAATAATTTTGAAGCCCGGCTTTGATTGCTGATAAATTTGATGTTAATAATTTAGAAAGAGGTTTCGTGGAGCACTTGGAAGACCTAGCAATATAACGTTGTTTGTGAAGAAACTTATGTAGTGTAGGTATACAATACAGCGAAGGAAGATCCAGTTCTTCATCTTTGGTTGAAGAAACATAGAACAGATCTATGATTATCCAGAATTTTCCCTTGTTAATTGTCCTGGGGGTATATATTGAGTTTTTATGTGACTTGTAAATACCTAATTCATTTATTGAGCAGTTTATGTACTATGATTTACACACAAACACGACGTTGTTTGGGGCTTTATCTGCGAGAACAATAACATATTTGTCATGGAGGTAGCACAGGTATTATGCAACAATTGATGTAGCATTTATATTCATAAACCTATTCAGATTTTTAGCATTGATTTGTATCAACGACCTCACAGCCTTAATCCATTATGAAAGAGTATCAACGTCTTCTTTTTCTCGTTAAACCCATTGCTTGGAATAATCCTCGACTGAATCCATTCGTATTGTTAAGTTGTTTTTCCAATTGATGGCTTTAGACTCACGATATTTCGGGTCTTTGGATCATACAATTCGCAGAAAAGTGTTATAGGTAATGTTTAGGCCACCAGTTATAACTCGGCCGGTCGGATTATATGTGAATTGGGAACTAGCACAGGTACAATCAGGAGGTTTAGACTTGAAGTCTTAAATATTGAGATCCTGCAACACGTGTTTGTAATTGAAAATTTTAGTTGCAATTTGTTTGGTAAAGGTATAAGAAATGTTACAGACTCGTCCTTAGAAAAGGGAGATATTTGCGAGTGATTTATGAAGAAGAACATTGGCCAAGTTGAAGGCATCGATACCTTTGTTTGCAAAGGAAATATTTTCTTCTTTTCATCTTTTTTAATTCGAACTTGTTTGAAAAGTCTGTGAATTACAATATCCGAGATGATAGCTGTGGGTGTTTGTAACACTGAATACTCTAATACATGTTTTAGTGTGCACGGCACATTTTCTTGTATAATCTTCATCTTTAACATGTACGAATCAGATCAAATGTTCCTAAAGCCAATGCAACAATTTTTTAACCGCTAAGACCGAGTGAGCTTTGTTTTGTTCACACATCGTTGTCAATATAATGGAATTTTATGCGACTGTCATACAAGTGAGAGGTTTAGCTAGCTATAAAACCAGGTTCAATCCACCATTTTCTACATAAGAAAATGCCTGTACCAAGTCAAGAACATGACAGTTGTTTTCCATTCGTTTGATGTGTTTGAGCTTTTTATTTTTCCTTTTTGAATTTTCCTTGGAGTTCGGTATTTTTGTTATTTTACTTTTTAATGTGTTTTCTGCATTTATTTCAATCGTTCATCAAAAATTTCTTTATCTGTTTTCTTTATCTGTTTTCCGGGTAAAACGACGCCATTTTGTTTTGATAGAGGGACGTAATAACACTACTAAAATAAACCACGCCTACTTATCGGCGTTTGTAAATGCTACATCCATTTTCACGACAAATATATTGTTGTTAAGCAGAAAAACCTTCAAATAGAATAGTTTGCAAAATCATCATTTTGATTACATAACAAAAGAGCAGTGATATAATAACAAATATTAGAAACTTACATATTCCATGAAAGTGGAAAATGTAGAAAATCTTAAATCCGTACTTCTTCCCTCCTTTTGGTATTTACATAAAAAACAAAGAAAACCTATCTTATTTTTATTCGATATCATGCTGTGTCCTTTCAATATCAAACTTAACATGTTCCCAAAACTCTTGATGTTTTCTACAGTAAATTATGGCTTTCAAATATAATTTGATGAGATAATCTAATTTGAATCTTAACACATTTTGAAATGAACGTCAAAATCTCAAACCACAATCACTACAAAACGTTTGATTTTTCAACACTCTATTCAACCTGGGCACGAAAACTGAAAGATCGATAAAATATGCGCATTTAACGTTGGATGTTCCCACATTTCATCGCGTCCTTGCATTTAATACATGGCATAGTTCTAACTGCCCTTAAAAAAAGATACTACTGAAGCTAGAAGGTATAATTCATTCTCTTACCTTTTTCTTGAAATTGACATAATATATAGATATCAGAAGATGTGGTGTGAGTGCCAATGAGACAACTCTCCATCCAAGTCACAATTTATAAAAGGAAACCATTATAGGTCAAAGTACAGCCTTCAACACGGAGCCTTGGCTCACACCGAACAGCAAGCTATACAGGGCCCCAAAAATGACTAGTGTAAAACCATCCAAACAGGAAAACCAACGGTCTAATCTATATAAAAAACGAGAAACACTTATGAACCACATCAACAAACGACAACCACTGAACATAATGTTTGTTTTTGTCCGATATATTTGTTTTTCGTTTATTGTTTCGTCATAAATCAGGCCGTTGTTTTTTTTTTTTTTATGTATTTTTAGTTTGAACTTTCATATTTTTCATGTCGGAGCCTTTTATAGCTGACTAAACGGTACATGTTTTGGTCATTGATAGTTGTCTCATTGGCAAGCATAACACGTCGCCTTATTTGTATATAGATGGACGACTTCAAGTGTCTTTGAAAACATAACGACATCTTATGCCTCATCATATGGCATTAACATTTATAAATTCTATGGTTATGCACGTCTATGAGCACATTATTAAGACTTCATTTAAAGGGTTGTGCTCCTAATTTGATTACAAATATTGCTCTAATAGATTTATGATGAATAACGACTACAATTTACACTCCGCAAGTTTTACGGCCACCTTAACAAACTCGTTGACCAATACGATGCGGTATGTTCGGACTCACATTACATATTTGTTTTTGTCTTATATCTTAGAATATCATTTTTATATCTTTTATTTGGTTTGAATACTTTCATTCACTACCAACGCACTGCAATCTTTTCATTAATATACATGCATGTCGATACAAGGAAAATACAAATACCATCTACTAGATACATGTAGCTTACATAAATAATAACTTAAAATATAGATAATAGATCACAAAAATATTCTATGTACTAGGACAAAAATCTTTCATAAGCATTTGCTCTTATGATATCATGATAATTGTTTGATTTGGGAAATTTGACGAGTATATGCTATTCTTTATTGTGATATTTGACTGTATCTTTGCGATGTATGTGCTTGTAAAGCAGGAGAGAGTGTTGACATAATATCTACGTAAGACTAAGGTCACATATTAGATAAACAACCTTAAATTGTATATTTTACTTTTTGATTTAAAAAGATCGTCCATAGAATTTTTTACTATTTCATTACAGGTATTTAACTTCGTGATGTTAGGCTGTTGACTACTATGGTTTATTTTTTTTTCTAGACTTATGGCTTTTTATTGTTCCTTGTTATCTTCTTCTTCCCTTTTTATTTGAAATTTACTGAATAAATCTCATAATTGTAATCGAATCTATGAATACAAAGCATCAATTTTGGGGCATTCTAATTCATCGAATTCGTACGTATATGAGTAACAAGACGTATTGCACATGTTGAGCAGGATCTGCCTACCTTTCCAGAGCATTTGAGATCACCAACGGTTTTTGGTTACTCAGTCCTTACTTTTTATGTGTGTGTTTTTTTAAGACAATTGTGTTAATTACCTAAGCTGTATTTTGCAAAACCTGGCGAAATATTGGGCCATCAATGCTCTTCAACTCCGTTCTTTAATTGGCCCATTTAACTTTGTTGATATGAGCGTCACTAATGAGTCTTCAGTAGACGAAACGTGGTACTGGCGTACAAAATTTTAATCCTAGTATCAATAATGAGTTTATTTACAAATGTTAACATTGCAAAAATCTATATAACTATTATAAACAGGTATATCCATGAAGGGCCTCATTTACAATTTGGTTATGTACTTATTAATTCTAAAACCACTTAAAAAATGGAAACAGATTTCATTATTACAAATATTTACATGCAATATAATAACTCACTATATGCAATTTAAACTTTTTTGAAGTAGTTTAAAATTAGACCAGGAAGTCTTCCTTCTACACTGAACCTATTTATCATTTGGAAAAGTCCCAAGTTTAATGCAAGCATATACATAATAACAAATTATTTGTCTGCTGAAACAGAATTGAAGAAATCACTTTTAGAAAAAGGTTTATAATTATTCATATATAAAATATAATATGTAAAGGTGGTACATAACACTACAGGGAGATAACTCTGTAAAAATCAGCTGAACGTTTTAATCACGTTCTATTGTTAAAGAAATATTAAACTTATCAATGATCAAAATTAGTATTTGTCAAACTTCTATATATCCAATGAAATTTATCTGATAACGTGTGTGGTTCAAGTTTTTTGAAATTTTTATGTCTTTGTCAAAGGGTCAAAGTAGATATTTTGTCAAAATTTTATGAAAATAAAACGAACCAAATTGATTTTAGTCAAGGTGTTTGGTACCACCATAAGGAAAATTTATACAACCTTAAATGTATATCTGCTATGTCTTACATCGAAACTCAGAATATAAAGGATATTGCTTTAGAAATGGGAATTTTTCATCATCTATTTGAGAATGAGAAAAGTTTTTTCTATCGTATTTTTTTAACTTTTTATCTTGTTTTGTAAGTAAGGAGGCTATTTCGTCCTCTATCGACTTCTTGTGATTAGAAAAATCAATAAATTGTCCAATTCGGAGAAATGCTCCCAAATATTGCTTTGCGATTTCATTTGCCTCCAGTAGATCGTAATTAACAATAATAATTTCCTTGTTCAGATCATGTGTATAATTGTGCCAGGCATGTTTCCATTCTTTTTCATTCCAACGAACAGGTCCTTTATACTCTTCACTCAAAATGATGATAACAGTTTGAGTATGGGACATCACATGTATCATTTCCTCTTCGCGAGGTACTCCTATTTCACTATCTCTGCAGGGCCAAAACACCTTAAGCATGTTGTTCAACTCTAGATTAGGCAGTAAATTCGTTGTCAGCCACAAACGAATCTTTTCATCTTCTTCATTGCACGCAATATATACGTCGTAACACAATTTCAAAGAATGAGAAGTTCCTCTAAAATATTTTATGAATTTCCGTCCAATTATAAATATCTCGAATCGAAAGGAAAATATAATTGCCGAAAGTAAAACGACAGTAATGAACGCCACAACGATAATTGTACTTATCCATATGAAATTAGTATCCGGTATTCTACATCCAAGGTCTTTCCTTGTCATATACTTTATGGATATTAATTGTTCTGTAAACCGACACAAAACTTGTACATTTTTGTAACATTTAGAATCACTTTTTGGAAGCCATTGTTGCAACCAAATATCTTCACATTTACATTGCATCTCTATAATGCCTAGATAAATGTTGCAAGGGTTTAATTGCTCAATAGATCTGTGTAATGAATTAATATTGTTTCCCCTAAAATCGATTTCTGCTTTTCTTAAAAGAAACAAATTTGAGCGTGGTAATATTCGGATTTGGTTATTTGAAAAATTAAAAATTCGAATACGCTCGAAGTAGTGTTTAATTTTTCGTCCATGTTTATGTATGTATCTAAACTGATTTGGCAGATTGTCTATGCTGTTATTTGATAAATCAACTTCTAACACATTGTAATTTGGAAGCATGCGTGGAAGCTTTGTGAGATGCAACTCTGAACAGTCAATGATTGTCCTATTTCTAACAGCTGGTTGATATATACAGCGACAATTCGGAGGACATTTGTCTGCTAACGACAAGTTACAAATTAAACCATCATATTGACGTTCTTTTATAATTGTTACCATTAATTTACCTTTCAATGTTTCCGGGGCATAACATTTAACGTCAAAGTAATCCCTTGTCATTACCTGTGCAAGTCTTTCTGCTGCTTTCGCAAATTGATAAATTTTGCAGTCACAGTTCCATTTATTATCTCTTAAGTCAAATCCATAGTATATAAGTCTTCCAATTAGGAGAGGGTGATCAAAGCCAAGGAAACGCAATGTATTCACATCAAAAAACGATGTAAGTGAATTATTTGACAGATTCACCATTCCTCCGTGACCAAGTGTGGTATTGGTTTTTAATTTCCATGATTGTTCATTTGTTATTAATTTTATTGAGTTATGGGAGTAATCTGCACGGCAAAAATATTCCTGTTTTGATGCTATTGCATTTGTGATATCTAGAGTGGACATCTCATTAAAAGATAAGTTCAGATAGAATAAATTTCCATTCATATTAATGAGAAAACCTGGATCCATTAAACTGATTTTATTAAATGATAAATCAATTGTACGAAGGAACCTCATATTCACGAACGTGTAATTATTCATATACTGAATATTGTTGCCACGAAGCAGCAGAGTATCTAAGTTTGTCAAGCACGAAATTGTATCTATAGTCTTTATCTTGTTGAAGGACAAATCAATCATAAACAGCCCTTTAAAATTACATATGTTCCCAGGCAGAAATTCAAGATAACCATATCGATGATTCAGCGCATAAAGTTCATGTTTACTTCCATGATTTACAATTTTTGGATCATAATGATTTCTTTTGTTTACTATAGTTAAATGTCCAAGATTTGTAACATCCGATTTGGAACGACAAATACAGCAAGACATCTGATATATTGACGGATGCTTGTTACATTTCATTGGACATTTCAAATCAGTTCTATTGAATACTGATTGCATCTCTTCTTCGACATAATTATGCGATAATGCTTGAATCATTATCAAAAAACTGCAAGATAAATGTTGTCCAGAAAATATTAATCTTCATCCTTGAAAACTTAATTCTACATATTTTCTACAATGCTATCGCACTAATGAATCATCAATAACTGTTTTCTTCCGAAATATTAGTATTCAGTAATCACCTGTTTCCGTACTTTAAATATTACTTGATATCTCACGTGAACTTTGCATAATTTAAAAAGCGAAATAAAATACCTATTTCAAGACTTAATATAAAATTGCAAGGATACATCCATTCGAATTTTCACTAAGTTGTATATGATTACATTCAAAGTTCAAATATTACATAATTTATGTACTGTATTATACAAACATGCTTGATTTGGGGAATTGATTCAATGGATATAGAAATAGTTTACAAATTACTAGTCAAATCTATATTCGTTCTTTCTTTAATAATTTAATATTCTAAATACTTAGTGGCATCTCACAAATACTTCTGATTTTTTTTAAATAGTAAAAAGAATAAAAAATACTCCAGATTTTGATTTCATTTTATTACCAGATTTTTTAAAACCTCTTTGTGGTAACATATAAAGTTAAAATTTGACATGATCATTTGACGCCTGTTCGATATGTGATTTTTTTTCACTTTTTTTGCGACAGTTTTGCTAACTAAGCTACCGCAGCTAGTTTCCTGTAGTAGCGATTATATGTTGATGCTGCTCTTCGAATTATGTGCTGTCTTTTATTCAATTTTTCAAGTTCGACGCCACCCTGTTGGTAGTATATTTCTGTGTTTTTTTCAGAGGTGGTTTGTGTAGTCTATTGCAATGGTTAATATTATCAGTCGGTGTCTGGCTTTGGCTATACTTGTTCTTTCTGGTTTAGCGCTCTTCATTTTTTTTTAAATTTGAAATTTCAAATTATTTGTGAATAATAGCGATATTAAAAATTTCTATAATTCTATAAAACAGGCGATGAACTTTATACAACGGCCAAAAACAGTCAAACGTCGAACACCTGTATATTTGACTTATGTATACCTCCGACCCCAAAACAGCATTGACATGACCAGGCTGTAGAGATATATTCGTATAAAATCAATTATTACAGAAGACACACATGCATATGTTTTTTGGAATTACCTTCCTTGAGTCTGGACGTATGGGACGACAAATAAATGTCTTTTGGTTGTTTTTGTATTTTTTGTTGCTGTCTCATTAACGTATACCTAATATCTCCTTCTACTTAAGTATTTGTATATAAGCGTTACTTATACTCCATATCTCCTTCTGCTTAAGTATTTGTATATAAACGTTACGTATACCCCATATCTCTTTCTACTTAAGTATTTGTATATAACCGTTACGTATCCCCATGTTTCCTTCTACTTATGTATTTGTATATAACCGTTACGTATACCCCATATCTCCTTCTACTTAAGTATTTGTAAAGAAACGTTAAGAAGCATCAACACCAGAAGAACCTTACCTTACTACAAAATCTTTTAATATTGGGGTTTGTTTTTTTTTTGCACGAAGGATTTGCAACTTTTTTATTATAACATAGTGTTTTTATTTGAATATGCTCCATCAAAATGTAATGGAATTACATGCTTAAATAAATGATTTTTCTTGATTTTTCTAAACTTTGGCAATATATAGATCATATCGTGCACTTTCCAAACTTTATAATGCAAAGTACAGTGCAAAGAACTTTATTTTCCAATAAACTGTTTGCAACTTGCACACACACTGAATGCTTGTATAAATTGATCAGAGTTATGTTAGCAGTGAGAAATTTCCAAAAAAAATCCATGTCTTGGTTATTGGAACTGCAAACATTCGAATGTGCTAAAAGCTATAGACTTGATGTTGTCTAATGAATTAAAAGAGATTTTCAAATTGAAAAAGAAAATACGACAAATGAGAAGATTTTAAGTTTACCATAACAAACTTCCTTTGTTAAGATAACAATGTTCGTCTTGCTGCATCCTATGTCGAGCACATTTCACAACTTGTACTGTTTGTTTAATATGTTCTAATGAAGATGACTTTAATCAGCGCAAAAAGTTAATATTAAACGGTATTTCTCATCCTACCTTTTATTGTGATATCGTAAAAATTGATTTTTTTGAAAATGATAGATTAAAACTTGGAAAAGTTCTTACAGCTTTCAAAAGCAACGGGTACAGATGTGATGTGCGTATTTATTCAATTTAAATGTTTCTATTCCGACTGTCTTATGATTTAAAATACAAACTGGCTTGTCAAAAATAATACCGATTTCAATAATTTTTTAAACTTCATAAACTTGATAGGAGTATTGTTTATGTTTCTTTTTACTGAATCGCAAGGAACGGTAAAGTTATCTTTTACAATGCTATTTTTGTATTTAGTCAAATAAATGTCTTGCAAACAGCGATAACACCCTCTAAATACTATTGTGGTAAAATCCTTCGACAGTTATCTTAAAAAAAATAATTCATTTAACCTCAATTCTTTCAAATTATATGGGGACATTTAGCTCGTGCGCATGAAATAAAGCAAAACAAAAATCATATTCTGTAGAATTATTAGGCTATTTTTGGTGCAACTTTTTACACTGAGTTGTACTCGTCGAAACTTTTATACAAGACCAAGTCTGGTCCCAGTAAAAGACAACTCGACCAGAAAACAGCTCGGACCGCTATAAATTAGACAACTCGGAGCGTCTATGGAGATAACTCGGACCATCTATAGAGACAACTCGGACGTCCAACAGACCATGTTTGTTCTATTGTTCGATCGATTTGAAGACATATATTGAAAACCAAAGGACCGTTAATAGAAAGAACTTTGTGCGTACGCCCTTTAACTATAAAAAAAACCAAACATTACCGTATCATGCATATAGAAGAGATTTCCAACAAAATGACTTACGTACGTAACTGGAGGTACGTACCTAATGTGAACGGTATTGCCAACCTATGCATTTTGTTAAATACGTTGTTCAAGTTTAAACAGAGCATTTCAAGACTTTTAAAATCATGCACTGGAATTTTAGTCCGTATTAGATAATTTCGACATGATGAAAAATGATAAAAATCATGCATTTTTATTTATCACGTGGTTCTCCAGATTCACGCCTTAATTTTCACTGACAAAACTACGTATCCCATTTACCTATCATACGATCGATTTGAGTTATCTTTCATGGTTTTGATTTTAACAGTTATTTGACAATATACTTTGCTGATGAACGCTCCATTATCCTATATTTTACATGTTTATTTTTCCCTAGCCGGTGTTTTCTCTTTATCTATCTATGTATTTTTTTTCCTAGGAGAGATTGTTAAGCGGGATATTTTCAAGATAAAAAAAGTCGAAAGCAGTGCTTGTCAAAATTTGTCGCTAAACAAAAGTTGAAAGTTAAGATAAAACTATCGCTTCCATTTAGTTTCTGATAAAAGTATTTTCAATTTATTATAAAATTTATAGATCAAAATTTCCCTAAAAAGGTTGTATTTTAGAACGTATGCTCGATTAAGGATTTTTCTGCTTTGTTTAACGGCAATGACAATTTGAGATGCGTTATGAGTCCAAAAACACGAGACATCTCCAGGCAAAATATTTTACATCCCTTGAGTGCATCAACTTATAGTATTTTGTCTATTTTATCCTTTTTATCGATACACAATTTATTAAGTTACTGAATTTGTTTTTACTGCATAAATCATTAAAGGGCATGTGTCATAAGTAAGAAACATAGAAAAAATAAGATAATAAGATTTCGATGCGTAATGCAGTCTAAACGGCACGCTATTTATTTTTCTTTTTTGATGCATTTATTGCTTCTTCTTCTTCTTCTTCTTCTTCTTCTTCTTCTTCTTCTTCTTCCGCCGCTTTTAAATTTGAACTTGTCCGCACCCGTTCTCCAAAACCTCTTGTCAGATTAACTTAGGGTTCCGCAATATGTTAGACTAACATGTCTAGTGATGCAATCAAGGTTTTGTTTGTGCAATGGGGTTTACATGGGGGTACTTCGAGGGGCAAAAAGAAAGGAGGATTTTACTATAGAACCCTATGGGATTTTATTTTTTTTAATTTTCAAATGATTATAAATTTAAAACCGTTTGGGATAGACACAGTCTTTTTAATTGAAAATGTTCTTAATGATAAAGCACATTAAATGAAACAAACAGTTAGTCCTCAGTGGTTATCCCCACCCCCTGCCATTTGAGAAAGTTTAAATATCTTGTAAGTGGTCAAGATCCCCACCCCTAAACCATATATATTCTGGTTTGTCATGTTAAAGCACATCAAATGAAATACAGGGTAAGTTCCCAGGGGTCACCCCCATCCCCTGCCATTTAAGAAAGTTTTAATATCTTGTAAATGGTCGAGATTCCCAACCTTAAACCATATATATTCTGGTTTTTCATGCAAAGATGATTTGAATGATATACAGGGTTAGTCCCCAGGGGTCATCCCGACCCCCTGCCATTTGAGAAAGTTCTAATATCTTTTAAATGGTCAAGATCCCCACGCCTAAACCATATATATTCCTGTTCGTCATGTCTCGAACATTTGAATGACGTAAAGGGTCAGTCCCCAGGGGTTCCTTCCACCCTCAATGTTCTAATATCTTGTAAATGGTCGAGATCCCCACCCCTAAACCATATATATTCCTGTTCGTCATGTCGGGAACATTTAAATGACGTAAAGGATCAGTCCCCAGGGGTTCCGCCACCCCCAATGTTCTAATATATTGTAAATGGTCGAGATCCCCACCGCTAAACCATATATATTCCTGTTCGCCATGTCTCGAACCATTGAATGACGTATAGGGTCCGTCTCCAGGGGTTATTCCTTCCCCCAATGTTCTAATATCTTGTAAATGGTCCAGATCCCAACCCCTAAACTGTATATACTCCTGTTTGACATTTCTCGAACATTTGAATGCCGTATAGGGTCAGTCCCCAGGTGTTTCCCCCACCCCCAATGTTCTTATATCTTGTAAATGGTCAAAATCTCCACCCCTAAACCATATATATTCCTGTTCGTCATGTCTCGAACATTTGAATGACGTATAGGATCAGTCCCCAGGGGTTCCTCCCAACCCCAATGTTCTAATATCTTGTAAATGGTCGAGATCCTCACGCATAAACCATATATATTCCTGTTCGTCATGTCTCGAACCATTGAATGACGTATAGGGTCCGTCTCAAGGTGTTATTCCCACCCCAATGTTCTAATATCTTGTAAATGGTCGAGATCCCCACCCCTAAACCATGTATATTCCTGTTCGTCATGTCGCGAACATTTGAATGACGTATAGGGTAGTCCCCAGGAGTTTCCCCAAACTCCAATGTTCTAATATCTTGTAAATGGTCGAGATCCCCACCCCTAAACCATATATATTCTGGTTCGTCATGTCTCGAAGATTTGGATGATGTATAGGGTCAGTACCCAGGGGTTCCACCCACCCCCAATGTTCAAATATCTTGTAAATGGTCGGGATCCCCACCCCTAAACCATATATTTCTGGTTTGTCATTCCAAGATGATTTGAATGATATACAGGGTCAGTCCCCAGGCATCACTAATGCATATAACTTTATTGGACCAAGCCAATTTTCAATGGTCCCTGGGAATGACGAATTATGGGAGCTTCGTTTGGGAGACTTTGTAACAGCATCCTGTTACAATCATTTCTTATTCGAAATGCAGTTTAGAAGATCACGACTTTTGGCAGCGCAAACATATAAGTATCAACCGGACGAAAGGCTTTAAGTGTTCATTGCATATGTAGTTTGAATATGCATTTTCAAGAGTAGAAGATAAATATGAACCCGACTTTCTACTAGACCAAAGCGATGATCCAAATTATTTAACGTGCTAGTGCACAAGTTAACAGTCCACAGGAAGACATGTCATCCTACCCGGACACATTATTCTGACTCCGGACTAAACAATTCTTGCTCTTACTCCTAAATATCGAGCGCTTAGCAGAGAGGCAACCAATCTTTGTTTTGAACCGGCCGAGGATCGAACCCAAGAACTCCCGCACCCGAGGCGAGTACGCTATCACAAGATCACGGAAGCGGTTATGGATATTGAAGATACACATACATGAACATGTATATTAATATTTTTTAAACAAGAATATGTGGCCATAAAAAACCGTGCCCCTCACATTTTCACAGTTCAGTGAACCACTTAGTCCGCGCCAAACTCTAATTTTGAATATAATTTGAGACTTTTATCTTTAGAACGCGACGGACGAACGGACGGACCTGCATAGACCAGAAATTATTTTAAACCCTTGCTATCATACGGGACAATCAATTTTCTTTAGGGGGAAGGAGGATTTTCAAAATGAATATACTTGCCTAGTAAGAGCTGAAAATAAATAATCTTCCATTATACAGGATGAAACGAGCAATTGATTTTGGGTCTGTCAAAAGATACAAGCTTAACGCTCTATCGGAGTGAAATTGAGAAAAGGATTTCGTTTTCTCAATGATGTCATGAACATTTTCGAGAAAACTTCAGAAAAAAATGTATTATTCGAAAATTTTCTCCAGTCCGTAATATAAAACAAAAATTACGAATAACGCTATCCAAAAAACATAATTTTAGTGTTCTTTTTATTCATGCTTTATAATAGCATAATAAAAACATGTATTTTGAATACTTCTTATGTAAATGTTCATGCATGAATATCATGATTCCACTATATTTTCTTTATTTACAGTACAAATGGAAAACATATTTTAGGGGTTAATATATTAATAAATGTTGGGTAACGTCAACTAGACAGCCAAAAAACCAATAAAAAAAGGTCCACAACAATACACGGGTTTATCATCTTACTAACGTGTTATATTATTCTTTTATTTGTCTTTGTAAATTATTACGTTTACTGTTTAGCCTATTTTTGGTAATATCCATTTGACGTGGCTCGGTCATTGTCTTATTGTGCTATGGTAAATTTTTGTATTCTTCCCTTTCGATTTTGCTAATGTGCTTTGTCTATATGCCTTTTTGTTTTTCTTTGTTGGCATATTTGCTTGATTTTGTAGTGATTCATTTGACGTGGCTCTGTACTTGTACATCCCGTCATTGTATTGTTGTTCTGTGGAAAATTTTTATATTCTTGTCTTTCGTTTTTGCTAAAATGTGCTTTGTCTATATGCCTTTTTGTTTGTCTTTGTAGACATATTTGCCTGTTTTTGTAGTGATTAAGATTATAACACAATGTTGACTGCTGTACCCCTATTTTTTTTGACATTTTTACCTATTATGTCAATTTGTTTTGTTCGCATATCGTTGTCAATATAATGGAATTTTATGCGACTCTCATACAAGTGAGAGATTTAGCTAGCTATATAACCAGGTTTAATCCACCATTTTGTACATAAGAAAATGTCTGTACCAAGTCAGTTGTTATTCATTCGTTTGATGTGTTTGAGCTTTTGAATTTGCCATTTACTTAGGGACTTTCCGTTTAGAATTTTCCTCGGAGTTCGGTATTTTTGTAATTTTACTTTTTATGTACAAAATATAAAGCTGACAGTTTCGAAATGTACTGAATAAATTTTAGAAACTATAAATGATCTGTCGTCAACATCAGAATCACACAAATGACATAAAACACATTAATATGTAAACAAACACATCTAACGGGTTCTTGCTTGGAATATGCACATTAACATCTCTCATGGTTGAATGATTTTGGGCGATATTAACCATGACAGCAATGAAAGGCATGTCGTAAGTGGACAAGCGAGGATCATAATCAAAAGACAACAGACTTCAAAAACACTTAACTGGAAATTTAGATCATTTATGTTGTACTTTAGAGACTTTGGAGATTAGTTCCAGTTCCACAAGTTAAGTCACACTCGTGTTTTCACCTTCTTCTTTAATTTGGAGAAATTATGTGTTCAATGAGATACACATGAACATAAACGATGTTGTGGCTACAGCATAGATAACGTATCCCCTGTAATTAGTTTTATAAATAAACATGTTTTAGCTTGTTAATAACCAAAATCTTGGTAACTAAGATATATATCTACAGGTATGATTGGAACAATACAATGTTCCATTAAGTCTGCAAAACGTTAAGCAATTATTGTTTTTTCTCAGCTAAACGTAAATCATAATTTTGATTTTCAGCATGATAATTTTTTTTTTTGTAAATAATTAAGAACAATGTAAAAATAAGGAGTCGTGGTATGATTGCCAATGAGACAACAAAGGTTCAAATGAATTGGATGTAAGCAATTAAAGGCATCCGTACGTCTTTCAACAATGAGAAAAATCCATACAGTATAGACGGCTATAAAAGGCCCCGACATGAAAAATATGAAACAATTCAATTGAGAAAACTAACGGTCACATTTATAACAAAACAATTTACGAAAAATAATATGACAGATGAACGACAACCACTGAACTACAGGCTCCTCACTTGGGACATGTCAATTAATGATTTAAAAAAAACTTTTAACCTTTAATATCAAATTTGCTTTTCGATATTTAACAAATTTAAACTTTTAAACACTAAAGTTGAAGATGATTCTACTTTGCATAGCAAATGTAATAATTCACAAACAATAAATGCGAACCTTAAAAAATATGAAATATCATCTAAAGCTGGTGTGCTGAAAATGATATGATGTTAAATCCTAGAAAAAAGTTTAACATATCGTAGATACAGGAAATACTCCACATAATATCACTTAAGACTACTCAATGTGAAATAAATCATATTCATATTACGGAAATGAAACTACGATTGATTTATTCAAAACTTATAACAATTACATTTAAAAACTTTCGTATAATATTTATATATCGCATTAAAACAAAAGCATAAGATTTTTTTTCTGATTTTTTATTTATTTTTTTTTTTTTAGCTTTTAGGTAATTAACTGATTAAGACGTTAATATTCACCAATTACATTTATATTACAAAAATAATTCTTCAAAAGCAGAATCCAATAAAACATAATAATATCAGAAAATAAAAATTATACATAAATATTAAGAAAATGCTTACAAAAAATATTTAACATACAATCAAAAAAACACGTTCGGACAGAAAACAAGGGTATGATCAAACTAAGAGATGGACGGACTTTAAGATTAATAAACTCCTTCTCTCCTATTCTCTCCTGAAATCAATTTGTGTCAATGCTTAACCTTACTGTCGTTTTATGCTGATTTTGAGAAGCAACGTCATAGATTAAGGCAACATTAGTTTACTTATGTTTAGATATAACAAATCGAATAAGAAGACAAATCAAGGCAAAACACAAAATTGGGGGAATTGCATGAACTAAAAAAAACAAGAATGGTGCGTCGATAGGGTTTGCGTCTATTGCTATGCATACATCACCCGTCATGCAAATACACATTCAGTTTAAAAGTCAAACTCGGAAATCGTACACAATCGGTAAAGATACAGATTAGAAAATGATTCCAATAGATTACAATGGTCCCAAAACATCATATGTTTCAGATAAAAAAAAGTATTCAAATACTTAAACTGGAAGATAGACAACACCATTGCCAACAGAGAGAATAGTACAAAATAGTAAACAATGGAAAACTAAAGATTAAGCAAAAAATTGGTTTGAACTCAATGTTTCTTAAATTGGCAAACTTCTGTACTACACTTATCTTGAAACTAATTTTGAATACAAAGGATATTTTTTCAGAAATGGTAATTTTTCCTCTTCGATCTCAGCAATGACACGGTTTTCTCGTGCATAATTCCCCATCTTGTTATAATTTTTTGCAATCATTGACGCTATTTCGTTCTCTATTGATTTTTTATGATTAGAGAAATCAATATATTGTCCAATTCGTAAAAAGGCTCCCAAATATTTTTGGGCAATTTCATTAGCTGCAAGTAGATCATAGTTAACTATAATTATTTCACGATGTAGATCACGTGTATAATTGTGCCAAGCATATTTCCACTCTTTCTCATTCCAACGCAAAGGTCCGTTGTACTTTTCACTCAAAATAATAATAAAGTAGTGACTACTGGACATCACCTCAATTATTTCCTGTTCACGTAATGACCCTATTACACTATCTCTGCAGGGCCAAAACACCTTAATCGTTTTTTGTTCGAGATTTGGTAATAAATTTGATAATAACCACAGTCTAATATTCTCGTCATCTTCATTGCAAGAAATATACACATCGTAAGATAAAGTTAACGGAAATGAACTTCTATTACAATTCTTTATGACTTTTCGTCCAATAATATATATCTCGAATCGAAAGATATATATAACTGCCGACAGTAAAACTACAAGAACGAACGCAGCGACGATAAAAATGCTTATCCCTATGATGTTTTTATTCGGTATTCTACACCCAAGATCTTCCTTAGACATATTCTTTATGGAAATTAATTGTTTCTCTTTTCTACATAGTACTTGCAAATTTTTTGCGCACTTAGACTCCTCCTTTGGAAGCCATTGTTGCAACCAAATATCATCACATTCACATTGCATTATTATAGTTCCTAAATAAATGTTACAAGGATTTAATACTGAAAGAGATCTATGTAAGGAATTAATAGTGTTTCCCCTAAAATCTATTTCTGCAGTCCTCAAGAGAAACAAATTAGATCGTGGTAGAATTTCAATTTTGTTGTTTGTAAAATTAAATAAACGAACACGTTCAAAGTAGGATGTGTTCGTATGTTTAGATTTGAACTGGTTTTGCAGGTCGCACAAGTCGTTATTTGATAAATCGACTTCTAAACTTTTGTATTCAGGAAGTGCATGTGGAATCTTTGTGCGATATGAATTAGAACAGTCAATTACAGTTCTGTTTCTTACTGCTGGCTGGTATATGCAGCGACATCTTGGTGGACATTTGTCTGCTAAAGACAAATTACAAATCAAGTTTTCATATTGGCGCTCTTTAACAATTGTCAAAATTGACCTATCTTTAAATAATTTTGGTGTATAGCATTTAACGTCAAAGTAATCCCTCGTAATTGCCTGCACAAATCGTTCTGCAGCTTTAGCAAACTGATATATTTTGCAATCACAATTCCATTTATTATCTCTGAAGTCAAATCCGTAGTAGATAAGTTTTCCGATTTGTAGAAGATTTTGAAAGCCAAAGAACTTCAACATATACACATCAAAGAATGATGTAAAAGAATTATTTGACAAAACCACCATACCTCCATGACCGAGTGTCGTACTGTCTTTACATTTCCATGATTGTTCATTTGTTACAGTTTTTATTGCATTGTGGGAGTAATTTGCCTCACAAAAATACTGCTGTCGTGAAGCTATTCCATTTGTTATATCTAATTTGACCAGCTTATTAAAGGATAAGTTCAGATAAAATAAACTTCCGTTCATTTTCAGGAGAAACCCTGGGTCTATCATATCAATTCTATTAAATGATAAGTCAAGTATACGAATGAACTTCATATGCAAAAATGTGTGTTTATTCAAAACCTGTATGCTGTTCCCACGAAGAAGAAGAGTATCCAAGTTTCTCAAGCACGAAATTTCTTCTATACTTGTGATATTATTGAAGGAAAGATCAATTATAAACAATCCTTTAAAGTTACAAATGTTCCCTGGTAGAAATGTTAGATGACCATATCGATGATACACCGAATAAAAATCATGTTTTCCTCCATGATTCACAATTTCGGAATTACATTGACCCTCTTTGTATTCAATTGTTAAATTTCCAAGATCATCTACATCCGATTTTGAACGGCAGATACAACAATGCATCTGATGTATGGCAGGATATCTATTACATTTCGTAGGACATCTCAAATCTGGTCTGTTGAACATTGATTGCATATCTTCTTCAACATAATTCGGCTTTAATCCTGAACTTATGTAAGGAACCACATAAAGAACTATTATGCTTATGTACATTTTGTCTTTATCGACTTGCATTCATTTATCGATTAATTAAATTGTCCTTTATCTCATATGTTAAAAAAAAACCATTACATATTCTTACGTACATGAAAGTGAAGCCTGATGTGTATGTAATGTATTATATATCATGATTTCACAGTCACAAGACAATTAAACATAATATTTTTTAAGATGACCCTTGATTTGTTTATTAGTTTCCCATTGAAATAATTCAGCGAAAAACATTATGAAATAGAAAAGATCTAACTGATATCCTATTCCACACGGACATATTTGAAACATAAAGCCCAAAATTGCATCAAAAGGTTTTAATTCTAATTGCAATTATTGCAAAGTACAATATCTATTGTAAGATTTACTTTCAGAAAGACAATATGGGACCATTATTCTATTTATTATTGTCTTACGGTTTTTTTATTTTATCAGATTTTGTTTTAAATAATTGAGCTAACCGCATGCATAATCCATTGTGTGAAGAAAACTCTCTTTCTACCGAACATTTAACTGGTCATTACGTACAGAACAATAACTTGTAGTGTTGATCATTACGACAGAAAGAATTCTTTAATTTTTTTCATTGTTAACGTTCTCTCTTATGTAATGATATTTCAGCAGCCCCTGTAAATTGATATATCTCTAAGATGATACAATTATCAATGTCATGTGTTTCATATCAGGATTTCCTTGACATAAAGCTCGAAAATTTTCGGGTCTCATTATTATCGTTGTTATATATTTTTACATCAAAAATAACATGTATGTTCCATTTAATGCTGTCATGATCCTTTCCTTCCTTTCTCTTGTCTATGAATATTGCAGGATTATTGATTAACTTTTTTTTTCTTGCAAACTTTTTCATGTTACAAAAATCCTGCAATCAAACTATTTGCAAGATGACAACATATTCCATGGCTTGTGTTTCGTATCAGGAATTGTTAAATGTAGGTTTGCTGCTTACATGAAAACTAACAAAGAGATCTTAATTGTAATTTTCAATAAATGTCTTCGAAAGCTTTCTGACGTCATCATCATTTGGTTGATCGTTGTGGAATATTTGTGACGTAACAGATCGTGTGATTGTATGTTCCATTTGCTCATTCCCCTAACAATCCTAATCTTTTTTATTCGTTGATGACTTGTCACCGAATACCTTGTGTCACTCATCATTTTATTAATGGTCATTTGTTATATGAAATGATAGCATATTCTGGAAAATAGAGAATCTACATAAAATGTTAACCTTTGGACGTAAAAATTCAAAGGATTAATATAAAAAAAATCTCGAAAATGTTATTTACACGGAAAAGCTATTTTTACTTATTGGTTCTCATACTAAAAATATACAGACACTTGTCACCACATTATTTTATCACACTTAAGAATGACTTATTAGGTTACAATTTTGTAAAATCCTTGATAATTAAAATAATTACTTCATAGGAATGTTGATCGATATACACAGGACTATGTACGAACAAAATCTTTATTTGCACTATTCAAAATATAAATCTTATACAGATATATAATTATATTTCTGCAGGGGTCTTAAACAAATATGTATGCTTCAAATACAAAATAAAAGATTTATAAAATCGATATATTTAAATTAAATTAAATTGATTGAAAAATTTCTTGCAAAAACAATTTTATCATAATAAAAACGATCGATTCTGAGATTTTCGCCATAGGTAAAATTCATACGAACACTTCCTAAATAAATGTTGTAGGAGTTTTCGAAGTTGAGATGGTCAAAAGTAAAATAACAAACATACCGAACGAACTCCAACTCAAAGCATACTTAAAACATATCTTTTCCGCATAATATTTCCTGATAAGACTATTTATTTACATAGACAAACTATTATTTCCGTATGTATGAAGTCAATGAAGATGTTTCAATTAGGAGCGGCGATTATGTATTATCATTTCAACGTTATTCTCGTGTATTCTCGTGTATTTTCGTGTATTCTCTCGAGTATGAGCGTAGAGTATTTTATGTGTCGACATACAATCATGTTATCAACTGGCGATTCTACCTGACGGTATTCGGATATGGTTACTTAGTCAAATCTTAACAGGAAGCTGTGATAATATTAAAAAACCGACACGGATAAAAAAAAAATAAACAATGTCAAAATGATCAGGCTTTAATTAAATCTTTATTTGGGTAAGTTCATGCAAGTATAGTATCTGTATTGTTTCTTATACTGGAAGTGGCAAATAATGTTTAAAAGACTATATTATATCAATGTGAAAACATGTTAATTATGAGCTTTGAAAATCAAGTAGTTCAAGCATTTTTTTAAGTAGGTTTTAAAAAAATTCAAACAAATATACTTCACTGTGGGTAAGCATTCGTTAGCAGTCACTATCCTATAGATAAACAACTGTTGGTTACATGGATAATTTAGAATCTTCATAGAAGCTGACGCACGAATGTTGTGTTAATTTATTCTTTTGATGTGTCATTTGTATGCAAGAGCTACATCCCTTTTTTCTATGTTCCATTTCCAACAAGCCTATCGAATTCATGCGTTTATTGTCTCCCTTTAACAGGTTCATTATTTCATATTTACGTATAGTTATTTGATTTTAAATCATTACAAAATTTATAAATTTAATAGATTTTAGTATTTATATTTGGTTTACTAAAGACATTTATTTATATTTATAATTTTATTTATTTGTTTTGAAACGATTGGAAATATCATATACTAATATAAAGAACCTATCATAATTTTACAAATATAAATATTATTTAGGTAAAGTATAGATACATTACCGACCGTGCAAGACCCTCATGGGTTGTCAAGGTCGTAAAAAAACCATCATCATAGATGCATTGTCCGATTGGGAATCATACCTCGAGAGTACGGGAAATGCATTTTTTAAAAGAGGGTAATGCTTCTGCCACGAAAAAATAATGGAATATTATTTACTTCAAGCCGTAGTCTGATTAGTAATTAAAAGGAGTGTAAACAGTCTTCTGTTTAATTGTTCCGGTGTATACATTGTAATATATGTTTCATTTGACAACTGTAGTCATTCTACCTGTCCGGAATATACTATTTTAAGTTGTTGTCCACATCCCCTCATATCCAACAACATTGATCCTGTAACTTGTAAAAGCATACATTTAGCATTTTCAATATTGTGTATATAATGGTGTCAGAATTCAAATGAAGCAGACACATTTATTTGCGTAACTTGATTCCCTAAAGACATATACATGTATGCTGTATAATCCCCCTAACACACACACACACACACACAAACACATGAAGAGAACACCATAACCACCACTTTATTGCCAAAACTTCAAATTTACGTCATATGCTTTAGTAAGAAATTATGATTAAAATCTACATAAAGCATTTGATTTTCTTTGAAAAAGACTATATCTGAAAGCCAAATTAGGTTATCTCCCCATAATGATTAAATGTTGAAAAAGTTAACAAGAGGTATCTCACATTAATCACAAAGAGTGGCGAGCAAACTATTTTTAATTGGAGATTAATTAATGTTAAAACAATTTTCCACTGAACATTAATGTTACTGTATTCAATAAGAAGGCCTTATATATCCAAGTCTACTCATTTTATTGGATATTGTGAATTTGTATGACAATAGATAAACATGCTATATCAACACGAACAAAACATGCTGAAAAGCAAGATGATAATTTAAAAAAAAAACATGCACTTTAATATAAACAAAATGAGGTATTATCATCAAATATGTTTTTACTATTTCTTTTGCAATTATCTTGTACAGTTAGAGAATAAAAGAAAGTATGATGTGGCAAATATTTGACGTCTTAAATTCAGTGATTGGTTGATTGATTTAGTCAGGTTTTTTTGGTTTCCAGTTGCAAATATTTCAGAAACACAATTTACAATTAAAACAACAGGCAGATCGGTCTGGGTGAATCGCAGGATATCTGGACAGTCACGGAGAAATGAGAGTTTGTTATGATAATGGCAGGAATTTTGCCTTTCAATAGGTCAGTACGCCTTCGTCGGATATTTGTTGCAATCATTCTTTAACGTTCTTCCATTCCATTTTTATACACAAAAGATGTTAAAAAATAAAAGAAAAAATCGATGGGACAGCTACCCAACTGTTAAACTGAATTAAAAAAATTTCTATCTTGAATCTTTCCATTCAAAACTTACCGTTGTTTTCCTCTTATAGTTGATGTGTTTCCCTCGGTTTTGGTTTGTGACCCGGATTTGTTTCAGTTAAATCGATTTATGACTATTGAACAGCGGTATACTACTGTTGCCTTCATTTACCCAATTTATACATTTTAACACTCCGTGACATCACAATGTCATGTAGCTTAAATTTTTATTCAATCAATCAATCAATTAATCAAGCATTCAATCAATCAATAATTCTTTTTCTGATGGAAACTATTACGTCATTGAGAGGAAGTGATTATCTGTAGAAAAAAGATGACTTGAAATTTAGGAAGAGTACTTGCATTAGTCAAGAGACAAGAGATAGATAATAACGCAGATCAGGAGCCATCATCGTTTTAGTCTTTCCGCGGGACATTAATGTCTCTTGATTCAAGAAACTAACGTTATTTGTATTTATTTTAAAATAACATGATTTACATAATTAGATATTAGAGTCAATTTATTAAGCGTTACTTCAAAATCTCTCTATTATTAGCCTGTTCCTCAATTGACGCCCATCAAAGTCTTTGATATCCTCATTTTTGTCCTCATTTTCCAGTTCTTTAGTCTGAAGAATGTCTACTGATAATCCAAGATCTTCACATATATTGAATATATAACAAGATAACGGTTAATACAATTTTGTCTATCTGTCAAGGGACTCTGTTAATTAATGGTTCCACCTTCAGGGACATAATTAAATTTTAGAACGATTTCATTCGTTAATTAGCACTTGAACAAATTATTGGTTGATTTTTTTTCGTTTAACGTCCAGTGGCAAATATTTCATGCATATTCAGGACGACACTAGAATAAACAAAACGTACAAAAGACAGGATCCACACGTGTCATCTTTGCCGTTGCTTGTTTTGTT